ATATATATATATATATATATATACTATATTATATTACATTGTTTACTTACACCATGAATTCGTCTTTGTCATGATATTCAACCACATAACCGACAATTGGCGAATTTCCATCGAATTGTGGTGGTTTCCAATGAAGAGTAACCGAAGTGTCCGTGATTTCGATAATGTCCGGAATTCCTGGTTCATCCGGAAGCTCTAAAATTATTAATTAATTAATCGTTTCTTGAATGCGCATGAAAAATAACAGTAATCATAATATTATTGTCACTAACTGATTACGATGATGTCTATATTTGCAGCGGTTTCACCATAAATATTTTTTAATTTTAATGTTAGAACACCTGTATCTGCCTCTTCTATCTTTTTGATGGTCAAACTAGCTGATGATTCGTTAACAGAGTACGATACCTGGATCAAAAATACAAATTATAGTTTTATTTGAATTTATCGAGAACCAAATATTCCGTACTCTGTTTGATTTTATAAGAACAGTTCCGTTGACGAACCATTCTGCTGTCGATGGTACGGTCGATGTAAATGTTACATTCACAATTAGGTCTTCTCCATTTTTCAAACGATACTCTTTTTCAATGTTGTTTATTTTTGGTGGTTCTTCTTTAACTATAAATTATTAATGTCACCTTATCATATTTTGTACGATATAAATCGAAATAGCTTACCTTCGACTTTTAATTTTGTCGATGTTTTTACGTTGACGGCCGTACAAATATATTCTGCCTCATCGCTAGTTGTAGGTTTTTTGATAATCAGTGTGTGTACGGCCCCTTCGGTAATTATTTCATATTTATCAGATTCTTTAATTACTTTACCGGACCTACGATTGTAAAGTTGTATTTTGTTAGTAAAAATATGTAATGAAATTCAAATTCGTCACTCATAAGTACCTTAACCATTTAACTGGTACGTCTACTTTAGATAACTCCACTGTTAGTTTAATATCGCTGCCTTGAACGGCAAGTGTAATGTCTGGTAATTTCTTAACAAAACTAGCTCTTGGTTCTGAAACAGCCGTTGATAATAAATTAAACTAAATATTATGTGCATCTCCTTTCATTATTATTTATTAGATACCTTTTTAGATTTTAAAAATAATTATTACTTTTTAGATACGGTATATATTTTTTAAATTGTTATTAAATATTTTATTTTATATTTACCTTCAACAGTTAATTTTGCCGTACACGTCTGTTCATGAACTTGGCACGCATAAACACCAGTATCAGTTTTAGAAGCTTTGACAATTTCTAATTTCTGTCGTTTACCGTCAATGGTTAATCTTACATTGTTATTCAATTGTATCTCTTTACCATCTTTGGTCCATTTTACTAATGCATCACCTTTCGTTAACTCAATTTCGAATAAAACTTGTTCGCCAGTAGCCACTTTTTGATCTTTCAGTTTTGTTATTATTTGTGGCGCAAGTTCTAAAAAAATAATAAACATGAATGAATTATTTTTAAAGCGAGTCTAAGCATTTGTACTTCAAACCATGATATGATTTTTAATAAAATTCATTAAATACCTATAACATTTATTTCTGCAGTACATTCTTGGTCACCTAAAGAACACGTATATTCACCATCGTCATGAACCGATATGCTTCGAATAATAAGTTTACGTGTTTGACCGTCTTTTTCGAAGAACACTTTACTGTTCATACCGTCAGTAAGCATCTCACCATTCTGTAATGTAAATTGGTTGAATATAATACAATATATTTCATTATCAGATATAAATATTTTCACTACCTTGTGCCAAGTAACATTTGCTGTCTCTGAAGAAACTTCAACTTCCATAATTGCGCAATCGTTTTCTTTCACTTCGACATCTTCGAGTTTTTTAACAAACTCAGCTTTAACGTCATGAACAATCACATTGCTGGAAGTAGTCTGATCCTTGACTAGACAAGTATATTTCCCCGAATCAAGAATGGTTGATTTTCTTATGATTAAACGGTGAACTCGTCCTTCTTGGTGCAATTCTCTGTGGTCCATTCCAGTGAGTTCTTTACCGTTTAATTGCCATTTAGTAGACACTGTATGTGATGTTTCACATTCCAAATATATTGATTGTTTTTCATCGACTTCTACGTCAGTCAAAGGTCGAGTGAATTTCCTGTTATATTATTATTAATTTAATGAAGATAGAAAAAACATGTATTATATTTAGAATTATTTAGATATTTAAATGCATACAATATAAATCAAATCAAACTATTTTTTAAGATTATAATTAATTTTTTTTTATAACATAATTAGGTATTTAAAACAATTTGATCGTGACATATTTATAAATTAACTTACACTTGTGGAACGTCGACTGACACTCTTGCACCATGTGTGGCAGTTCCAAATGTGTTAGTTCCTACACATTTGTAATCACCTGCATCTTCTTCGCTATCAGCATTTACAATTTCCAAAACGATATTTTCTCCGTCGAACACTTCTTTTTTCTTGGAAGAAGCTAATAGTGGTTTATTGTTTCTAAACCAAGAAACGGTAGGAATTGGATTTCCGGTCACCTTAGCCATCAATGTTATTGTACCATTTTCTTTTACGGTTTGTTCTTGAAACCGTTCAATAAACAAAGGTGCTTGTGGACCTGGAAGTTCTGAAAATAATTATATTATTATCTTATATGAAAATATAAACATTAATTATAAATAACAAAGTTTGTATTTTTTTTTTTTTAATAAGATTTTATTCATTCAATTTAGCTGAATAAAATATTTATAACTACATAGTACAACTTACCTTCAACTGCCAGGAAACACGTTGTTTGTGCAGTTCCAAGTTTGTTAGAGGCGATTACTGTGTATTTTGCGGAATCCCGGGGTGTTGGTTTATCGATAGTGATTGAATGAAGGCCATCTTTAGTGACGACTGTCTTGATATCTGTTATTTTCTTACTGTTTTTTAGCCATTCAACTGTAGGTTGTGGTTCCCCGCTAATTTGAGTACTTAAAACCGCTGTTTCTCCTTCGTTTATAGTGATATCGTAAAGGGGTTCAAGTATTTGTGGTTTCTCTGGTAGTCCTGTTTTAACTTTGAGTACTAAGTCCATTTTAGCTTCGCCTTCTCTATTTCTAGCAATAACAGAGTATACTCCTTCTTGAGATTTTTTGACATCGCTGATTTTGACGGTGCTCACGTAGAAGTGCATATCTGAGTATGTGTCTACTTTAACAGAATCTGTGTTCGAAATTTCTTTACCATTATAATGCCAGAATATATCTGGTTCCGGTACTGCTACAAGGCGGCATTCGAGTTCGACGTCTGTGTGCTCTGGTGTACATGTAGCTTTAGGTTTACGTGAAAATGTTGGCGGTATGCCTTCTAGTATATCAGCTAAAGACGATTCTCTGAAAGTTACAGGTATAATAATTATAAACATAACGTTTGGGTTAAAAATTTAATTTTTTTTTTTTGTTTTTAATTTTTTGTGTGTTATTTAATAATTTTTCATTTTTCATTTCTCGAAATATTTCAATATTTAATAATTTTATTTATATAAATATAGTATGAGAAAATATATGAAAATTAAAAATATTGTAAAAAATTTACCTGGACATGCTTTTTCTGGAAAGACCAGTAATATCAGATCCATGGTCTGATAATGGTGCTTCGACAGTTAATTCCGTTGTACTTGATGCAAATCCAGCTATGTTTTTAGCTACACACGTAAATGTACCCGCGTCTTCAGGAAAAACTTCTCTAATAATCAGTGTTGCTACATTGTCTTCATCATAGAATATCTTAAAT